TATTCATCAAGAAAGCGGCCGGATAAAAATGACTGGAGCAAAAGGGGAGGGGGGGGGAGGAGAGGGGGCATTCGGTTGGAGATTTCCCAGGGGGGATAATCACACCACAAAAATAACTAGCATTCGGGGGAATGGAAAATTCCAAGGTGGTGTTTGAGACGAAAAAGAGTTATGAACTAGGTCAAGAATTCCTAAAGAAACGCTGCTGCTTGCCCTCCACTAAAGGGATGCCTTCCAACTTACCATCGAGTTTCTTCCGACTTGAAAGGGTGGTGAGCTTATAGAGTTTGAGCTTGCGATTCCGATGCGCTAAAAATTTTAACAAATCGTCCATAGGCGGCTGAGGATATAACAAGTTTAATTTTTGATAAAAATGCGCCTGATTTTTGCGCGCGTCGTCCCCGCGCCCCCCTGAACGGGGCGTGCGGAGAAAAGGACCTCTCCTGGCACCCCTCCGGCATGGCGAAAGCGTGGCCTCGAGGTAGAACTCTCGCTTCAAAAAAACTTTTGGTCGGGGGTTCAATTCAAGCCACCCAACTTTTTTGAAAAAACTTTTTTTAAAGCTTTTTGCCAAATTTTTTTCACCTGCATTATTCTTTTGTATTCTCTGATCAAGATCAGAAAGATCAGATCGGAGAAAGATCAAAAGAAGATTCTCGAATCGAAACGAAAAAAAAATGACTTGCTCTGTTCATAGAAATGCTCCAGAGCTTTTCCTGTGTTTCTTCATCCTTCGCTACAGCATCGTAAAACAATCGCAAAAAAATTTGGCAAACAGGTGAAAAGGTTTTTTCAAAAAGGTTGGTGGCCGGAATTGAACCCCCGACCAAAAGTTTTTGAAGCGAGAGCTCTACCTCGAGGCCACGCTGCCATGCCGGAGGGGTGCCAGAGAGGCCTCTTCTCCGCACGTCCCGTTCAGGGGCGGCGGGGTTTGACTTGCTAAATCATGCATTTTGTCAAAATTAAACTTGGTATATCTCAGCCGCCTATGGACGATTTGTTAAAATTTTTAGCGCATCGGAATCGCAAGCTCAAACTCTATAAGCTCACCAATTTTCAAGTCGAAACTCGATGGTAAGTTGGAAGGCATCCCTAGTCAGCTTTGCGGGAATTCCCTAATGGCCTCTGCTGGTTTACCTTTCCCAAGGAACCCCTGATAGCTTGCCCCTTCAGTCCCCTCATGTTTGCTTTTCCCAAGAAAACTTTGCTAGCCTGCCCTGTCATCTGATATTTCCTCAATACCCCTGCTAGCTCGCCCCTCGATAGAATCGCCATGCCTCAAGTATCTCGGCCAACCTACCGTTCGAATTAAATCCAAAATGTTATCTGCTCGTTTGTCCCTCCTAAAGAAACTCTGCTAGCATATCAACTTTACAAATCCCTAAAGGAACGCTGCAGCTCTTCTCGCTATACGCAAACCTTACCAAAGGATCTCTGCTAGCTTGCCCGAAAGCGTACCCTATTTCCTAAAAGATCTCTGCTCGTTGCCCTTAAAAAGCAGGAAATCTGAATCAGCAAAAGCAAAAATTACCCGAATATAATTGATCTGGGAATCGAATTAACCAGCCTTATTTTGATGAATACTTTTTGATGAATTCTGCACTTCAGACACTGACGTTTTGATCCCAGAAACCTCAAAATTCAGAGAATATTGTTCAAAAATCCAGAAGAAGAAAAGGGGGAAGGGCAGAAGCCCCAAGCCAAGAAATTTGGATTGGCGTGGCGAGGGGTAATCACCACTCTTTTGGGGGGTGAAGGGAGGAGTAATCCCGGAATTTCCTGGGGCTAGAAGGAAGTGGATGGTCGAGTTCGGGGGGATAACAATAAGATCAAGCCGGCTGGTGGCTGTTTTTTTAGGAAATTAACTTGATTTTAAGAAAAATCGAGGAGTACAGGAGATGTACCTAATTCAAGAGAAGAGTGTTTTAAAGGGATTGGGACAGTTGGAGAAAAAGAGTCTAGGGAGAGGGAGGAGAGGAGGAGAGGGGGGGAGAGAGGGAGAGAGAGAGAGAGAGAGAGAGGGGCGAACGAGAGAGAATTCCCTTATTCCGGCTTTGGTGTTCAAAAAGTCCCGTTTTTTCGCACGTCACGATTTTCAAAGGCAGTGACTTGAAGGTTTAGCGTTTCCCAAAATTCATTCTCGGTTCAAAAATCACCCAAAATAAGAAAACCAAGCAACCATACAAAAAGAGGCTCTCGAGAGCGGGTGACAGCTAGGTTTTCCAGATTTAAACTAAAAAATGTTAGAATTCAGACTTTTCTAGCTCCACTTCCTAAAGAATACGAATTTCAGAACAGGCTTTCGTAAATTCAGGCATTTTTAAAAGCCTAGAAGCCTCAGAAAACTCTAAAAACACCTCAAATCGCTTAGAAAACGCGGAACAATCGAAAAAAAGAAACTTTTGAGCTCCATCGCCTCAAAATTCTGAATTTGGTTAGGAGCTTTAGTAGATTTAGGGATCTTAGAAATGCTAAAATCCACGCAAATATAAAAAAATAAAATGGGAAAAAGGGAGAACAATCGAATCGTAACATCTAAATTTAAAAATCAAGGTCATTCCGGTTTTTCATCCAAAGATTCTGCTTTCCAGCTGAAGCACTAGTAACTTTAGAAATTTTGGTAGAGCTCAGAACCCGTACAAAACCCCAAAAACACTTAAGAAAAAGCGAACACACACGTGTCTCTACAAGATTGAAGGTACATCACGTCTCGAGGTGTGAAGGGGATGAATTGGGGCTCCCCTTGAAGCGGGACCCCGTTTTTTTAGGTGAAGAGGCCCGGGGGCCAGGCCGCCAGGGCCAAGAAAAACGGGGTCCTTTGGCCCCTTTTGGCGCGATGTGGGTAGAATTCATTTTTTCTGCTTTCCTGCCATTCTCTCTCTTCTTTCTTCTCACACCTTGCCATAGCCCCCCGATTATTGGAGGTGTTTTCGGCTGGTGAAGGGACACCACCACTTGAGAAAAGTACTGAAAATTCAGGGGTTTAAGCGAGGACTTGTTAAATAAATTTTTTTTTAGTTAGCCTGAAGGCTTTAAGTTTAATCAGGCATGGCAAATTCGGTCGGCCGGCCGATCGGCCGGGCCGAAAGCCGAATGAATCGGCCACTTCCGGGCCGATTTTCCTATGCTGCATTTTTTTCGGCCCGGCCGATCGGCTCGGCCGACTTTGGGGAATTGCCGGGCCGATTCGGCCCGGCCGACCATTTATGTCAAAATTAAAAAAAAACCCGTAAAACAGTGGGTCCACAAGTAGATGACCATGGACCTCGACCACCAGTTTTCGCCTTTAGAAGCCAATCAGCCCGCTATTCATTTGAAGCTTTTTTTTGTTAACATTCCTTCAAGGTTTTTAATAAAATAATTAATAAAAATAATTAATAAAAACTTTTTATCTTTCCAATGAAATCCCTTGACTGTCTAGAATGCTCAACTTCACATGGGATATGATGATCTTAGTGTAGTGTCAAATTCGGTTAACTGTTCGAACGAACGGTAATAACTGTTCGAAGATGCTGGGCATCTACTTGTCGTTCCACTCTTTGAGAGGTTAGCTGACTTGATCCATTAATAATATGGTGATCATTTCGCCTCAAAAATTACCTTGATCTTCTTGACTAATCACCCCAAACCTAATTGATTTGGAGGTAATCGGCAAAAGCACCAAAGAGAACGCATAATCTTGCGCAATTAACACTGTGCTATATGTCGAAATCGGATGTGTCGGCCTCACGCGGCCGATCGGCCGGGCCGACTGAAGCCGAAAATCGGCCCTGCACAGAGGGCCGATTCCGGAAATTGTCGGCCGAGCCGAATTCTAAGAGGCCGACATTCAAATCTCGGCCGAAAAAGCCGATCGGCCGGGCCGATTGCCATGCCTGAGTTTAATACAAACCTAGATCTTGAGCATTATGGGACATGACCAAGTTTTCCTTCGTATGTATTTTTTAAAATAGAAAACGGAGACGTTTTTAAACTTCGCCGCGTTTTAGGTTGCGTTAGAACAGCTAAAAAAGCAAAAAGCAGGGCAAAACTCAACAAACTCGAGTGGAGAATCAGGTGGCTGACAAGTGGACTGGCTAGCCAATGCCGAAAATGATGGAAATATGGAATTGGGTGGGTTGTCCATCATATTGAGAAGGATATTACGACCTCCAGAAAATGTTCTTTATTGAGGGTGTTGACGGGTTTATTGGGTAATTCAAAGGAAAAATGGCAAAGGAATAAGAAATCAAGTGCTGGAAGCGAACAATGACAAAAGAATCGGAATTCCTAAAGATCTCTGCTAGCCTTCCATCAGAAAATTCTTAAAAATCGTTAAATTCTTAAAAAAATCTCTGCTAGCATCTGCTGTTAAATGGTGATAAGAGCCAAAATGCCTAAAAACCTCTTCTAGCCTACCATTTTCCTCCCTCAATACCTTTTCTAGCTGCTCAAAAATGCTAGAGGTCCTGAAAATCCGGAAGGCTTCTGCTAGCTTGCCTCAGCTTCGTAAGGATCTCGGCCAAGCCGTCTTCAATTTTCCCTAAAAACGCCCACTAGCTTGCCCAGAAAAGTTTGTTCCATAGCCGATCTCGCTTCTCAAGGAATCTCCGCTAGCTAGCCTGCTTCGATTTCATAAAGATCTCTGCTAGCTTGCCCATACAAGAGAATTTCAAGGGTCAGAGTAAATTCCGAAAGAATCCGCTAGCCTCCCTCAGATTTCCTCAATAATCGCTACTAGCCCGCCCATGGAAAAATCAAGGCTAAAAGATGAGTCAAAAAGCCATCCATTGTGCTCCTAGATAGCCTCGTTGTGTCTCAGAAGAGGTGTCGACGGGGATCGAGCCTATCAAAAAAGCTTCTCCCCTTCTCTGTGTCTCTCTCCTGGCCATACTCGCTCGCTCCCTCCCTACCTCCCGTTCAAATCAAATCTCACCCCTATTCTCTTGGCTTCTCTCTCTTTCTCTCTCTCTCTCTCTCTCTCTCTCTCTCTCTCTCTCCCACTTCTCAATTTTTCCGCCTCAACTCCTCTCCGGCCCGTCAAAGGGCCCCGCATTATGTATTCGCCCCTTCACACACCCCGAAAAATTGAGGCCAAAAAGGTGAGATCCACCAAAAAAGGCGCTGCTTTGGTGCCGAAACTACAAAATACGGCTTGGCAAATCGCCAAAAATACAGAGCTCCGTGAAAAAACACTCAAAAAGTCAGCATACAGGGAGGAAATTACACGAAAATACAAATTACACCTTGAAAAGTGGCGAGATACGGTCCTCTGGGTTACATAAAGCTACCAAATACAACCTGAAGAATTTAGGAAATGCAGTAATTTGCGAATTACCCTTGAAAATGAGCAAAAATGATTCCTTTAGAACTACTAAATACGCGTAAAAAAATGGAAATACCGTACTCTAGCGTATCGTATCGTAAGCGTATCGGTGCGTACCGTATAAGAATTACGCTACCTGTTTAATCCAAAACGCTTAATTTATGAACGTGTCATTAGGAGTGGTGCGGAACATCGCGAAAGGAGGGAGAACTGGCGATTTCGGGAAAATCCCGCCCTGCCGGCTGGCGATAAAATATTTGCCCTGCGGCTGAGGGTAGCTGGACACGCCGGATTTAGAAAATAGAGAGATAAAGGGCAGATAATAGACAATATATTTCACTATACGAATCGTATCTTAAAAAACATAAATAACGACCAAATTAAAAAAGCAGGAAAATGAAAATTAGGATTTGATTTTTTTGGGTTATTTTTTGACTTCTAAATCGGTACTGTAAGTGGTATTATAGGTAATCTTAACTTCATAGATCTTTTAGAATAACAATATTTCCTTTTAGATAAGGACAGCTTCTCGGGGGTTAGGTAGAAAATGGCGAGGGGAAAATGGGCGGCTGATGACAAGGGGAGGATTATCCCCAAAAATTGCACAAATACTCGGATTAGAAGAGAGAAAGGAGAATACGGTCGGATCGAGCCGGGATTCTTTTCTTATGCTCGGTTCTCACGTGTTTTTGAGTTGGGTGGTTAGGGAAGAGAGAGAGAGAGAGAGAGGAGAGAGAGCGAGAGAGAGAGAGAGAGAGAGAGAGAGGGAGAGAGAGAAAGAGAAAGAGAGAGAGAGGGGAGGGGAGAGAAAGAGAGGGAGAGCGAGAGAGCGAGAGAGAGAGCAGGAAACGTCGATTTTTAGAGAACGGGCGCTTAAAGATTTTTACGAACTTTCTAACTTCAGAAAACCCCCGTAATTTGGTGTAATGTGGAACTCAAGACCCCTAGATGCAAATTGCATGCCATTTTGGTCTATCTGTTCCTCGCCTCTCCCTCCCTCTCTCTCTCTCTCTCTCCTCTCTCTGATGAGAAATATGTCAACGACACCCTAGAGGTGGCATATTTCAAGATCGGCCCCCCACTTCAGGGAGAAGCATAATTTGGACTACCCCCTCTTCTCTCTTTGCCCTCTCCCTTCCACTACACTCCTCTGAACGGCAGATTAATATGCGAATCGCCTTCCCCTATCCTTGGGCATGACATGCCCCCAGACTATTTGTCTTCTTGGCAGCTTGAACATGGGGGAATTTAGCATGGACTTCTTGGAAAACGAGCAACACGATAAAAAGTATAAAAAAGGCAGTTTCAGAAGGACACTTATCCGAGAAAAGCTTACTACGATGAACAAAGTTAAATCTGCATTAAAGCTATAAACTACAACTTTTAGGCGCATTTAAAAAGCCAAACGAAAACTGAAAAAACGCTTTTCGGTTCATTTTGACCATTAATGCCTAGACTACAGGCTACAAACCAAAAAAAATCAGCTAAAAAACTTGTAGCGAGTATGTAAAATTTTTTCTACCATAGACCTCTACGACTAAAGCTAGTCCAAGAACCTCAAAGGCCAAAACCATAGGCTACAATTGTTAGTAAAATTTTAAGGCAATTTTAGACAGTTAAGTTCGTGTAAAATTTGCATAAATGAAGATTTGGAGGGTAAAAGACCACGAAAAACGTTTTCCAAGTTATTGCTAGTTTTTAGAAGAGCAATACGCGACACTACTCCTAATACTACCCTACTCCAAAAATGATGGGTATTTGAAGGGAGAAGGAGAGAAGAAAGATATGCATGAAATGGGGGCGACAACTACACGGATGAGTAGAGTTATGACAAAGGGGCAGAAGCTGGCCTTTTGGCATGCCCTCTTCCCCCTCGGAGACTGTTGTCTTCCATTATTCACACCATCATCTCTATTGGGGAAGAGAGAGAGAGAGAGAGAGAGAGAGAGAGAGAGATAGATAGAGAGAGAGAGAGAGAGAGAGAGTGAGACGGACGGACAATCAGAATAGCACAGCTTCAAAAGTGTCCCTAGAGAGAAATGGGAGGAACCATCAACCAAAAGTGTTGCCACATTTTGGAACAACGGGGAAGCAGGGCTGCGGGGGTATTAGTACAGAAATGTTCCTGGAACGGACACCGGACCAAGTGGAAAATGCGAAAAATGCCTAGGAATTTACTCTGAAAATCAAATCCTGATCTTTAAAGTGGTTTTTTTGATCCCCTGGAAAGTATCCTGTAATTGTCATTTTACACTTTTTACCGTTATATTTTAGCGCGTAATTTGTATTTCAATGTCATTTAGTGTAAGAATTTAATGTAATTTTGTTCAGTCCCTCGCTTTACGCTGGCCTGTAATGGTTTTATACTTTTACCATTTTTATCTATAGCTACCTTGCGTGAATTTCTGGAGTTTTAATTGAGGAATTCCGACTTGCTGAGCCCTTGAAAACCGCGCAAGTTGTCTTTTTCAACGCAGCAATCTTATTTTTCTTGTATTTTGTACCCTAGAGTTTTTCCGGGAGAATCGTCACACTTGAAACGCCTTTTTGCTAATTTCCACAGATTTTTCCGATGTTCCGGCCGATCGTCATTTGGTGTATGAGTGTAGCCTGTGGGTCTGTGTGTGGCCCCCTACTCCTCTTATCAATCACCCAATACCAATTATAGCCCCCCGGATTTGCCAGCCAAAGAAATTGACGGCTGGTTTCGGCAATTCCTACTTGAAATTCCTTACTTTTTCGACATTTGAAGCATGTCAAAAGTATACGAATTCGTGGACCGTCGTCTCCTTCGTTTCCACGAGAATGGAGACCTGAGAAAAGTGGTTGAAGCTCGAGAGGGAGAAAATGCAGTTTAAGCGAAGTAGAGGATGGGCAGGTGGGTTGATCAAAAATTTTGTATATAATTTTTGTAATATTTTTAATTGTTTTGGTATAATTTTGAACAGTATTGAACATTTTACGTTTGAAAATCCTCTAAAAATCGAAACATGCACGATTTTTGGCATTATGGTATGGATACCGGAAAATTTGTTCAGAATTTTCAGGCTTTAGCGTTTTTTACGTCGGATACGAATTTTAAATGGATTTTCACGGTCCAATGCTTTGGAAAAATGCATTTTATGACAGATCCTTGCCAAAAAAATCGAAAAATCACTTTTTAATTTAATTTTTCTATATTTTCGATATTTTATCTGTTTTAGGTGCTAATCCGCTGGCTGTGCGCTCCAATAAATCCATTGGATATCAATATTATCCAGGGTGTCTATGCGATAAAAAGGGAATTGCCGGCAATTCCCGGTGGGGAAGCTGTTGGCAGGGTTGTTAGGGTAGGTATTTCATTAACTAAGTTTTTTGCTACTTTTCAAAAAAATTTTTAGGGGCTAAAATTGGTTTCTGTGTTACTTTAAAGTACTAAATCATTTAAAAAAATTTTTAAACATTTTTAAATTAAATTTAGGCCGGTCCCCGCTTGAATTTGAATACCGGAGACCTGGTGGTGCCCTTAATGATGCCTCGGCCGGATTGTTGGGCCGATTATTCGGTTGTTGAAGATGACGGACTCGTGAAAGTTCAGTAGCCGCATTGAACCGGTACGTTTTCATTGGGTTTCCAGTTTTATACGTTTCTAAAGGAGCCAGCCAAAATCCATAACGAAATTCGAGCTTACACAGTGCGTGCCAAAATGATAGGGGAATGGCGTTTTTAGCCGTTTTCTCGGCCGTCCTTCATTTCCGTGTAAAACAAAATCATAGGTCTTATAGCCCGAAAAAATACGCGTCTTTTGGTCTACTTGAAATCTCTTTATGCCTAAGGATCACGTTTTAAGCAAATGTATAAAAATAGGAAAAAAAACACAAGTGACAAAATGATTAGGGAATCATTAACATATCAATTTCCATCAACTTTGCCGTATGAATAGTGGATGTTGATTGATTTTAATTACAGATTCATGGCGGGAGAAGATGTAAAAACCGTATTGTTGGCCAAAATTCTGACCGGAAGTCGTCGGTCAAATTTTGCATCTAATTAGCATCCACTATTCATACAGAAAGTTGATGGAAATGATATGTTAATGATTCCCCTATCATTTTGTCACTTGTGTTTTTTCCCAATTTTGATTCAATCGCTTGTAAAACTGTTATCCTACATCGTAGAAAAATTTCAAGTAGACTAAAGATGCGCATTTTTCTGGACTACAGAAGCTCCGTCATTCGGCTTTACAGTTACATAACGAACCGCGAAAACAACCAGAAAACTTGATTCCCCTATCATTTTGGCACACCACTGTAATAAGAAAAAACGATAAACCACCATGTTTTTTGAGTCTAAAAATGACTAGGGTCAGCAATTGACGCATGTTTCAACAAACTTTAAAATTCTGGATCAATTTGGAGATCAAAAAGTATCTTTCCTACTGTAGAAAACATTAAAACGTCTAAGTTGACCCGAGAAGCTCTGAAAAATCTCAAAAAAATGCGTATTTTCTTTATTTTCTGATTTCTAATAGAGTTTCGGGAATTTAAGCGGTTTTGGAATACTTTAGCAATTTGTGAACCATCATATTTGGGATGAACCACACGAAAAGGTTGAAAATAAAATAAAAAACCGAAATTTCGATTTTTTTGGCTCGGTGACAGCCTGTTTTACTAGCCTGTCCATGAATTTGCGCCTTCCCAGACTTTAAAGCTTTATTTTTCAGAAAACAGCCGCCACGCTGATCGTAAACCCCTGTACCGCCTGGCTGATGCTAAAAACTTACGTGGATCTGGAAAAGGGAGACTGGATCATTCAAAATTCGGCGAATTCCGGAGGTTGGCCAGGCGGTTATTCAATGTAGCGTGGGTACGGTCGCGTCGTCGTTTTGTCCAAAGTATTCGATTTAGCTTGGGGGCTCAATACGATCTGCATCATCAGAGACCATCCGGAACATCGGAAACGAGCGGTCAGTGGAAAAGGATTAATGAAAAACCTATTGATTTGCGCCTTCATTGGTCCTTTAAAACAAAAATCCTATGTTTTCCAGCAAGAACTCCGTTCGATGGGCGCCTACATTTTTCAGAAGAGGAATTCGAAAGGAGGGCAAGAAATTCTTGGCAAATCTTGAGGGTAGCGTTGACTGCACTGGCCCTTTAAAATGCTCAAAACGCATCAAACTTTAATATAAAAAGCCGTATTTTTCCGGTAGCCATTGCATATGGATTTTTGCCCTCGACGGTCCTTTAAAAATCATCAAAACCCACCGTTTCTATAGTAAGGAAATGTATATTTTTGGTCGCGCAGAAATGAGCTATAGATTCCTGGCTCAATGGTCCTTACACAAATCGTCAAAGCACATGGCTTTTAGGAGTAAAAACTAGTAGTTTTTGCCGGCAGCGAATTCCTATAGCTTAGTGGCTTGAAATGGCGCTTTAAAGCCAACAAAAACCACTTTTAGAAGCCCGTCAAACTAGCGTTAAATGGCGTGGGCGGAAGGAGCAGTCTTCGAATCGCCGGAGCGCTTGATGTCGTGGCGGACCCTCGAATCTACTCACGGTAACTCAAAAATTGAGTTTTTCTAACTTAGATTTCAGGCGGGATGTCGAAACAGCACACGAATTCCTCGACAGCACAATTGAGCCTTCAATGACATCAGGTCAGGGGTACGGTGGTCCTTAAAGAGATGGGGATTGGCATATCCAGTTGAACCCCGCCTTGGGGAGGGT